GCAGAGGTTTAATCATAAACAAGAATGAGCCTAGTTTGCCTCTACTATAAGATTGTTAAGCCTAAGATGAAGTCAGGCTGGTTCATCAAAAGTAGTAGTGTTGCCCACTTCTGTGAAGGCGGAAGAGAAGCCTAATGGTGAATTCGGTCACCAGTTAATAAGTGGCCAGGCTATGGTGCCAGCTTTTGTGTCTGTGATACAGCAACCCCGTGGCAGAAAGAGGTGGAGGTGCTGATTGGTGGAGGGAAGCTGTCCCCCATACGTGAACACGGGCACTCACAGCCTAGGCCTTCCCTTCCTGGGCTGCCTGGAGAAGATGAAGGTACCAAGGATAGCTCCTTTTTCAGCATTGTTTCTTTTCTGTAACAGCAGCTTTGAGAATGTCTGCCAAATCCTGCCCGGCCCCACTTTTTATACATAAAGCTTTACTGGAACGGAGCCATGCCTACTCTCTATGGAGAGTCTATGGCTGCTTCCGTACACAATGGTAGAGTCTCGAATGCTGCAGTGGGGACCGCATGTCCCACGTGCCTATGTTGTTTCCTGTTTGACGCTTGGGGGGGGGATGGTTTGCTGAAGTGAAGGTAGACTTCTGCTAAGGGATAGGATGATGGAATGCAGAAGGAGCCAGGAGGAGGGGGAAACCATAGTGACTGTCAGCCACTCGACAACTCCATATGTGTCACTGGAGCCCACCTGTGTGTCAAGTGTGTGCTGCTGCACACTAAGGATGCCGACGTGCAGAGGATAACCTACCGGGAGGAGCACACGTGTATTAACAGGTAGATCAGTGAACTAGAACTTGGATGCCCTGGGGAAATGAACTGTGTGTGACACACATGAGTGATGAAGGCGGCAACAGCTCCATCCTTATTTATTATCTCAGCTCCTCCACTTCCTGGAGCCTCTAGACAGTTGCAGGGAACCCAGCAAATGGAAGCCGATGGAAGACTCCGCCATTCACTGTGCTACACGTCAAGGACTGGACAGGCATGAGCTCTGCTTTCGGAGCCTTTCCTTGATTGTCACGGGGGGGGGGGGATGGGAAGTTTTGGTACTTGCAAAGTTGCTTCCCATTCTTCCAACAGAGTAAGGGGGCAGGGTGGGGAAACAGTGCAGGAGGCTAGAGAGAAGTGCTGACTTCTAGTCATCCCTCGCCATGGTTAAGGTTTCCCCCCAAACAAACACAGCTGAGGGGAAGAAGGAGGGGATTTACAGGCTCAGCAGGGAGGGCTTCTCCGAGCAGCTCAGGAGCTAGAGTGGAGTGGTGGAGCATGCCAGGGGGAAGAAGATCTCCTGGGAACAGCCAAGCATAAGCACAGTGTGTGAAGTCTATTAGAGGCTTGGAAGCATTTGTTACTGAGCAGAAGGTCACAGGCCACCATACTGAAAGTTATTGATCAGGTCCATGTCTGCTGAGCAAAGCACCCTGCTTCCTTGTGCAAACCTCAGGCCTGATCTCTCACTGACAGGCTCCACTGAGTCCAGTGGTGCAGAGCAACGATTAGCATTGTCAATTAGGCCTGGATGCATTGATTTCCTAATTAGCCTTTGGTTGTACTGGGATCTCTTGCCTTGCTGGGCTCTGAAAGCTTTGGCTGTCACCAATGTAAGAGAAACCCTTGTCCAAGAGTCAGGTGAAATATTACCCACCTTAGACATTGCCTTGGAAACTATAAATGGGCATTTGATAATTTTTGATATAAGCCCATGACCTTTCTTGTAAGTACAGACCCACTTTTCTTCCCTTTGCTTTTCTTTCATAAATCATGTCCATAAGACGTCTGCTGTGATTGATCTCTGTTTCACTGAAGGCCTGAAGCACTGTGCCTTGGGATTCTCATGATTTTCCTCCCCAGCCCTTGTCCTTACTGCCCTGTTACAGGCAACTCAACCACACCTAGATGTAAAGCTGTTTGTTTGCTTGCCTGTTGGTTTTAGTAAATTGCTTTGACGGGCAAAGTGTTGGACCTAAATAAAACAGAAATCATTCTTTTTCTTTTGCTCATATTTCATTAGTTCTTCCCACAAAGTATAAAGCTGGGGCTGGAGAGAGAGGTGGCTCACTGGTTAAGAGCAATCCTAATGCTGCTCTTGCAGAGGACCTGAGTCTACTTCTAGGCATTGACGTGGTGCTGGCAAGCTTCGACCCATAACTCCAGTTCCCAGGGATCAGACACATGCAGGCAAAGCATTCACATACATGAAATAATACATCCAAACGGGAAAAGCAGATAACTGGCATACACAGAGGTGGACTGGGCATGGCCAGCCCAGGGTTAGCAGACGTGGGAAGGCTAAAAGCAGGGAAGGCTGTCACAAGGCATCTGTCCTTTTGTGTCTTTTTCTTTTCTTTTTCCTCTCCTACATTACATCCCACACTCTGTGTCTTTTCTGAGGGTGCAGGACCAGTTAAGAGGAGTTGGGTTGAGCAGGCTTTTCCCAAACTTCCTCCATGCTAGGACAGCGGAGTTGTTTGACACAGAGGCCAAACTGGCAGCGGCTGTTTGGGAGTTTGGAGCAGCACCCAAGATTGTCGCCGGTGCCGTGGCAGCAGCACAAGGGAAGTCCTTTTTCTTACGCTTGGAATTTCACACCACAAGAAACCTTGGGAGAGGAGGGACACTCAGTAGGTCTACAAGCAAGGCAAGGGTCTATGGGGCCTACATTCACTACGTGGAGAAAATGGCAGTGTTAATGTCTAGAAATACCCAGTTGTCACATTTCCAGGCATGACCTGTGTGTTACAGGCTGGCCTCTGGGTGAGGTGCCCCAAACCAGAGCTAATATCACCGTTCCCCCCTTCCCCCTCCCCGCCTCTCAGGTTTGCAGCCAAGGGAGCCACATCCACCAGTAGAGGGCGCCAGGCATGGGAACAGAGCCCTGCTCAGAGTGGGGAGTTCAGCAATGCAGTTGGTTAGAGGGCGAGTACCAGACAATCGGGGTCGGAACTGTTGTTTACCTTGATACAGCTGCTGGTAAAACTGGAGATCTAGCTATGGTCTGTGTGACCCCAGCACCCTGACTCTGATTATGGAGGTTTGCGACAGAGGAGTTAATGAAAAAACTGCTGAGAGAGCCAGGGCGGGGACACGGCCTCCTCCCCCAGGGAAACTTCAGCTTCTGAGGCCTGTGTCTGGGAGGACCCCAGTGTCCTACCCAGCAGCCTGAGCTTACAGGGGCAGAAGGGTGATGACTTTCAGACATGGCTGGGTGGAGAGCAGCAGAGTAGAAAGGTCAGAGCACCATCTTTGGAGTCAGACCAACTGGGTTAGAATTGTAGCCCTGTCCTCCTGTTTGTGACTGGATGTTTATGGGCATTTGTATATCCTCTTTTTTTTTTTTTGAGACAGGGTTTCTCTGTGGCTTTGGAGCCTGTCCTGGAACTCGTTCTGTCGACCAAGCTGGCCTCAAACTCACAGAGATCTGACTTCCTATGCTTACCAAATGCTGGCATATCCATATTTTTGATGACCATGCTTCCGTTTCCGAATCAGGAAGATGGGAATAGACGTATCACCTCAGTGGGTTTTGGAGAGGCACTCAGTCCTCCTACCTCTACCTGACTTACAGCAGAGGCCAGAAATCAGGCCACTTAGCCTCTCATGGCCTCAGTTTCCCTTTCTAGGATAGTGTCCTTAGTGGTGAAGTGATAGCAGGCCTTGACCTCGATGAGAATTTACAGTTCAGGGTTCTTGGGCACAGCATCAGCTAGGCAGACATCAGATCCACCCGGAGTTTGGAAATTTCTGGATTTGGATCACAGACTCCTCCGAACTAAGTCAATATAATTTTCTGTGTTGCCTTCAAATCCCTAAAGGCTTGAGGCGGATTTCATTACTCGCCCTTCCGATTCTGCCTCTGGCCTCCTTATCTCAGGGTTCCCAAATCCTGCTTAGGAGTTTCAATATTTCTGCAAATATTTCTGTTGCGGTCTTTTCTACAAAAGGTGGAGCCTCTTGCCTGGAAACTGCTAACAGTTCTGCAGGGGCAGGGTGTGGCAAAAGTCCCCATGTGGCTCCTGAGCCTCTGTCCTCAGACTTAGACGCTGCCTGCCACCCCTCCCCTCCACCCCCCACCCCCCCAAACCCCCCCCACCCCCGGTTCCTTTAGCTGTCTTGCTCTGTCCTTACCTGTCACATGGATGAGTGGCTGCACTGCCCCCATCCAGCCTGGTGGTGGCTCCAGACCAGACCCAAGTGCTCCCTGTCATTGCCCGGCAGCCTGTGGGCCAGAACCACCCTGTAACACTTCTCCTAGACCTCCTGGCCCACAGCACTTATTCCTTATTTCTGCTTCACTGTGTTAGCACTAGGCTTCTTAGATGGAGAAAACAGTTCTGCAGAAACAGGTTCGGGATACAATACAACCGTCTCCCAGAGGAGAACTGAAACCAGCCACCGCCACCCTCAGTGTGCCTGCTTCTCCTTTGGGAACAGTGCTAGGAAGACAAACGGTGCTACTTCAGGGAGGGGCAAAAGCTCCCTAGCAATACAGCAGGGCCAGATGCCACCACCTGACTCATCATGGAGGCGCCTAGGCTCTGAGAACAACTGGGGGTGGCCCTGCAGACCTGGCTTCTCAAAGGGACCCCAGTTAAATGTTACCCCAGTATCCCCCATGAGCAAGAGAACAGGCTTGCACTGTTCTCCCTCTCCACTAGAGAGGCAGCCCGGTGCTCAGCAGCCCTGCCTGTGTGGAGGGCAAGGTCATTCAGCCAGAGTAAGCAGGTGATAGAATTCCAGCCCAACTCCCACTGCTCTGAGATGCTATGAGGGTGAGGGGTTGGGGAAGCCGCCTCTGAAAAGTAGTTCATGTCCCTTTTGAAAGTAAGAAAGCGCAGGCCAATATGATGCAATGCATCCAGCCCTTGCATGTGATAGGCCAGTGAGTGCTGTCCATAGTTTGGTTTCCTGCAACTTAGCCTAAACCCAGGACCCAGGTTTACCTGCTGAGCCCTGCAGCACGTTCTGACCAAAGGGTATCCTCTTTCTTCCTAGAGAATCCAACTAAAGGGTCTGAACCTCAACAAGAAGCCCCGAGATTAAGTTCAGGCACTGATATGTGACAAGTGGGAATTCTGAACAACTGTTTAAAGGAAATCTCTGCTGCCTGGTGTTGAGATGGAATGGCTGGAGCTTCAGCAGCCACTGAAACACAAAGGACCTTGGGAATAAAAGCCGTATACTGAGGGAGGCAGAGCAAACAACAGAATATTAAAATATATGCCGCCATGGCTGTCTTTTCTCTTCTTTCTCTGTGACGGGGTGAACAGGGTGGTGGTAGGCGATGGGGACGATGACCTTCTGTGCAGTAGACAGGGCTGAGCCATGCACACTCAGCTGTACACCAGCTTCTGTCCCATACACGCTTCCTGTAGTAAACAGTTTACTTCTCACAGAAATCACCACACAGAGAGCTCTGTTCTCACTTTACAGACAAAGGAGCAAGAGAATGGACATGGCCTCACTGTCCTGTGGTCTGAGAGGTTAAAGTCCGGCAGGGACCCTGAAGAGCCCACGCTCTGATTCCCTGTGTAGCCTGCCCTGCCCGGCCCCTGGTAACCGGGGGCCTTCTGTATCTGCTCTGTGTGTCCAGCCCTGCCCTTCTTTTGCGTGTGTGAGAGAGAAAAAGCCTGTAGTTTGCTCTAGCTGCTGTTATTTTGGGTTGTTTGCTGTCAGCTGCCCGGCTCATGCCCATCTGACACAGTCTCCAAATTGATTTCATGCCTCCAGGCACTTGTTCAAACCTCCCCTTCTGCCTAGCATGCCCACTCCCTGGGACACCACCCCCTCCATTACACAGCCTCCCTGTTACACAGCCTGGCAGTCACCAGCTCTGGGGGCAGCCTCACAAGCAGCAGAGCACCTTCCGGGGCAGAGGGATACTGACTTAGCTTCTGCATCCACAAAACTTAACCTGGCCTAAAACACAATAACCATGCAGTAAGTGTTCCCTGGATGTGATTGAGAGGTGAGGTCTTGTACCAAAAGAGGAACAAACAGTTCAACAGCCGACACACTGGAGTTCAGCATTACCTTGTCCTGATCCCCCAGTCAGCTCATAGTCCTCTGACTTGTTTTCAAATCCTGCAACAAAGTCCCCTTTATTAAAAGTAACATGTGCTCACTTTAACTGTGTGATGGGCAGCTAGAGATGGGCACTTTACACGCAGTTGCTCCTCTAAAGCACAGAGGTTTTTCAGACAAGGTGGCCATGCAGCTGGGGGAGCAGGTTCAGGCCAGCAGGGCTTCCTTGTGCCCCACACCGCAGTTCTTAGAAACAACAGTTCGCTGCTCAAAACACATGGAGTCGCCTGGGCTGCCCACAGGCCTGGTTCAGATCCAGCCTCTTCTCGCTGGTCGTGGTTTCCCCAGGGTGATTACTGAGGAGTCTCCCCCAGGATTGCTGGTGATTCTATGACTTCATCTCAGATAAGCATAGGCCATCCATTGACAGACAGTCTTTCTTAGGCAGGATAGTGAATGGAGCCAAAGAGATTCAAAGGAAGTGAGTAGAGGCTCCAGCTAGCCAGGAAAGCTTGGTGGCAGCTGCTGGACAGACCCTCTCAGTTTCGTGGGACCTCTGCAGACAGTAGGCCCACCTTTTCTTTAGACTGTGCCCAGAGCAGGTGCCTGTCTGAGCTGGTGAAAGGACAGCAGGATAGATGTTTTCTGGGAGAGGCATTGGACTATAGACAGATCTCTGTCTCCAGAGTTCTCAGAGACACAGGATTTACCTAGATTGGACCCATGACTGTTTGAGTACTGACATTCACCAGCAAAGCCTACTCAGGAATTCTGGGAAGGCTATTGCCTTGGCTATCTGGGAGAGGTGGAGCCAGATGCCAGAAAATCAGCGAAATGCTGGAGAAAAATCCCTGAGGGGTCCCAAGAGCCACATGATGGTAAATGCAAGCTGACTGGTGTGTTACAGCTCTGAGGTGAAAGGCTTCTCCAACAGAGGTGTTGCAGCTCTGAGTGGGGCGGTTTCCCCAGTGGAAGTGTTACAGCTCTGAAGAGAAAGGTATCCTGGCAGTTGGAAGCCAAGAAATACCACAAAGTCACACCTCACAACAAACCTCACACAAGAGATTTATTAGGAGAGACACAAGAGTGTGGCTGCCTCTGCTCAGGCAAGAAGCAGAAGGGGACTGAGAAAGATGAAGGCTTTATATAGGGCTTCTTGGGGGTGGAGATTGGTAGAATTTCAAGGCAAGTTCAGGGATTGGTGGGGTTTCAGGCTCAGGGATTAGTGGGTTTTCATGCTCAGGGATTGATGGGGTTTCAGGCTCAGGGATTGGTGGGGTTTTGAGCTCAGGCATTGGTGGATTTTCAAGCTCAGAATGGGTGGGTTTTCAAGCTCAGGGATTGGTGAGTTTTAGTGGATTTTCAAGGCAGGAACTGGGCTTGGACCTTTTACCCTACAGCTGGCAGACATGCAGGCTGCTGCGTCTTTTCTCTCCACAGCTCTCTGCAGACACTAAACCCATAGCTCTTCTCTGGCCGGAGTCCCGAGTTCAAGCCCAACTCCAATGATACCCATCATCTGAATTTAAATTTTAGTTTGTATCTCTAATATGCTATTTACTACACAAACAGAATGATTTGACTCTTAAATATACCAGCACCAGTTTACTATGTATATCTGCTAATGATCAACACTGACATTATATAGTTCTTTACATCTTGTAAATGGCCATCAGACTCATTCCTGCATTTGGGCCTCCCTCAGTCAGAGCTTCTGGGGTGGAAGAACAATGTAGAATCATGTAAGTATATGATTACAAAGAGAAAAATAGGAATCAACCTAACATCTGCATTATCATGTATGCAGACAAGGAAGCTGCCAAAAATCAGTTATGGTTTTCGCAGGGTTCTCAGTAAACATTGAACTGAGGTTGTGTCTTTGTTGCCCACCCCAGACATCACTCTTGCATCCCACAAGCTCTTCATGAGAGCCTGCTATGAAGCCAGACTTTGCTGAGGGCAGAAGACGCATGCTCCCCTCATGCCTATGTTTGTACAACTAATAGCATGCAGTGAGCTCTACCAGGCCTGCCTCTCTGCCTGTAGATTCTGCAATGCATTATTTATTAGATACTTCTGTTTTATTGTTTGTAAGTCCAATCATTAATATTGCTATTACTTGTCTATTAATTAATCCTCACACTAGCCTTGCTTAGTTTACAAGGCTGGAATAGAAGCACAGGAACAGTAGTAACACACTAAAGGCCACACCAGCAAGTGACTGAGCCAGCATTGAAGGCCTCAGTGTCTAGCTGTGGAGTCGACAACAATGGTCAGCTGCATCTACCTGGGACCATCTGGGCAGACTTTCCTGAGGAGGTGGCCTTTGAGCTGAGATCTAGAGGATGCACAGGGCACAGTAGTGGGTGGCGGAGGAAATGCACAGAGGTATCAAATGCTGAGGCTGGAGGGCCTGCTGTAGAGGGCAAGCTGGAATGTCAGGGAAGCACATGGTTAAGACACAGGGAACACACAGACAATCTGGAGGACATGTGCTCTCTCTTGCAAGTGAGAGGAGTCTTTGACCTTGTCAGAAAATGGCATGGTTGCATCAGCCTCAAGAGGGCAGAGTGTTGGGTAGGACGGAGATTGGAGGCTTTTGTGATTTGGGGGTGTGGGTTCATCATGACCTGTTCTCTTAAACCTTCTTGTCCCTAATTTTCTTCTTGCTGCTTCAGAGTCCTGGCCTTCTGGCTAACTCATTATATGCCACTGCAGCTAGACACCTCATCTCCTGGGAAGAGTGGTCGCTACACACTGCTGGAACTGTCCCCATGATTTTCTGCCTTCTTGTCATCCTCTAGGCTGACCAGGAGATGGTTCTAATGTCACAGCAGTCCACTGCTGAGTGGTATCAGAGTCATCTAGAGCTACCTACCAGAGTCATCTAGAGCTATCAACCAGGCTTCCATTTGCCTCTGTATAATGTGGAATGTGGAGCTACACAGGGTAGGTTGTCATATAATATTTATTGAGGGGGAAGTCACTTACATGAGAAGCTGAGAACATGAGGTCAGCACTCTGCTGGTCTTCAAGCCTTGACTGGAACTCCAAGAGAGGGGTGTCCCCTTCCTCCTAGCCCCTTACACCCTGCCCTCTCCCACGTACCTGTGACCACGCCGAAATGGGCATGGTCAGTACTAGGGGCATGTAAGATCTCTCCCTACATCTGTAATTGATAGCTCATAGGGACCTATTCTCTATGAGGTCACAGGTATGATCTGAGGGCTGTGGCAGTGTGGCAGGTACATGTATGTTGGAAGCATGAACCATGTGCTACTAGCATGTGCCTTTCAGACTTGCTGGTCTGGTCTCAGATGTTCCCAAACCTCCGAAGTGTGGAGGTGGTGGGATGTCATTCTTGGAGCACTGAGATCACAACAGGGTCAGAGTGAACACTTGGGCTGCAGGGCCACTGTGGGTTCTCAGAGCCAGTCCCTAGCTCTAACATGAACAGTTACGGGATAAAAAAGAGGTTGACTTTGCTCCCCAGACCCAAAGGAGCATATACTCTTACTTCCTTCCCATGACTCCATATGGAATCCTGCTCTTTCACAGATGTTGGTCCTCAAAGTGTCTGTACAGAGCCAAGTTGCGCATGGTGACTGGAGCCTACAACAGAGCCTTCTTTTGCTCTGGGCACCTCTTGAGACTGGACTACTGATGGCTGCAATCAGTATCTCTGTGTATCCTGGAGCCACTCTAGACTCTTGAGAACCAGTCTTTAGAAACAGCCTTATTCTACAGGTCAGAAGCCAGACCAGGGATTCTCCAGTGGTCAAAACAGTCCATTCTAGAACTGGGGGAAAAAAGCATGCCATGAGATTAGTGTCCCCATGGGTCTATCATGAAACAGGTGAAAATTCCTTTATCTCCTGGCCCACAAAAGCGCAGTGACGGTAGATAAAGTGTTGCTCTGGGTTCCTGAAAACTGATGTTACATGGGGCCAGAATCCAATAATCCTGGAAAAAATCTAGTGGCTCTGATTAGCACATAGCCACCTGGTCACAGACGGATGGCTCCAGGGAAGCCCCAGTCTGCAGTGCTTTCCTATGCTGTTCCTTGGCTCTCCCCTCACAGAGAGAAACTGATACAGGAACCAGGGCATAGTCGTGTCCAATGCTACCACTTCTCTGGCTGGTAGCTGACACCCCTCCCCATCCCAAGTGCTGGGCTGCTGTCCCACATGTGAACTCTCGGGTAG